TCTGATGCTGTTTGTGAGAGTTTGTTAAGAAGATCAATAAGGACAAGAGCACTTTGACTTTTGTTAGTATGGTTTCTCTGGCAACCAGGGGAAATAACATAGGTAGAATCATAGTCCCATCATGCTCCATGTGCTGACAGTACATAATACATAATTGCATCCTTCCCACCAGAAAGCTTACTTAGTGTAATCCTATACAATCTTTTCCTTCGCACTGTTTTAGGTGTTTCATCATTTCCACAGCTTGCAAAGCCCTGAAAAATTAAAGAAGAAAACAAAACCCCTTGAGTTGGTTTTGCTATTGCCTGGCTTTAAGAGCTTATGACAGGACTAATTTAGTTTGTCTGGCAGCAATAATCCTAGATTATTCAAAACTAAGAAGAAGTGGGTGTATAAATCATGCAGTCTTTCTAGAGAGACTTGGTTTTGCAGTTTGCCAGAATCCTCATCCTCCTAGAGGATGAACTTCAATACTTCCAGAGCATCTTTACTTCTGAAAACACGTGACATAGGCTACTGATTCCAAAGAAGAGGTGGTGGGCCAGCATCTTTCTTTCAGCACGTGCTTTCCAACAGTTTGTGTACAGCAGGTTGCCAACCCCCTGTGTCTGCCTGGCTGTGTTTTGAGTTGTACTGGTCTCACAGTTCAGGAACACCCTGGGCTTGCAGAAGGTACTCAGGGGTAACTGGAGAAGCATCAGCACTTTGCTGTGACATTTCTACCCCTGTGACATTGATTAACCAAAGGGAAGGCTGCTGGGCGTACAGCATAGCCTGTCCTAGTGTTTGAAATGAGAGGAGTTGCATAAAGGAATGTAAAAACTTGCAGAATTAGCTTCTAACTTGCAGAAGTAGAGGCCAGGATTCAAAGTTCTTGCCCTTCCCCTCCGCTGTAGCTCCCCAGTGCCCATGCGCAGCCCTTGCCTTGCCTGCGCCCCACTCAGTACTTTGCTAGTGGGACACCGGGGTTCCTCAAAGATGACTGTTTTGGAACCCAAAATAAGTTCAGCTCCTAAACCTGCAAACAAGCCTCTGTTGAAACAAGCAGCCTAATTTATTAAACTTTTTGCAGGGCTCTCTGTGAGCCAAAGAACATGTCAAACCTAATGAAGCTGCCATTGCTCAAGGCTATGGAAGTCAAATGCAAACTCTTGCTGAGGCCAATGGCACAGCATCAGGAGCTGAACTTTAGCCACCTGCCTCCAGATATTAGTTTTGGACATCTGAAGAAAGAAATAGAAAACAGCAAAATGAAGATAAACTTGCTGTAATCGGAAGATTACCTCTATAGAAGGTAAAGATACTCTGGAGGTGAGGATGTCTCTGTGGGATGGGAAATGATGGGAAGAGGAGCTTCAGGTACCACAGCTTCAGGTACCGCAAAATACTTGCAAAAACCTTTAGGGCTTTTTTTTCTTCCAGTGTCAAAAGGTCTTCAGTTAATTACTTAACACTGGGAGTCAAAGGAATCCTGGTGCTCTGCAACAAGCTTCTCTGTACGTTTCTGGGGAGGGTCCTGGCAGAAGGTGAGGGCAAGGCTGACTCCTGCAAGAAGTCCACAGGCAGCAGCCGCCGGGCCCTGGCTGGGTTGTAACGTACCCGGCTGGATCACAGGAGGCTTTGCTAAACCAAACACAGGTGGGACCCTGTCTGTCTGTAAAATATCTTGCCAACACCACCTGCCTACAGCTTCACTGCCTTTGCTCTGGCAATGCTCAACAGTCTTAGCATGAGCTCAGTCTTAGCTTGAGCTAAACATAGGGCAATCACTGGAAAAATCACCTAAAAGGGAAAAAAAAGGGTTGGCCTCTACCTTGCTTTGCCCCCTATGTAGGACGGGAGGCTGAAGCATGAAGAGGAGGCTGTATTGGTGGTGGAAGCAACCAACTGTTTTTAATCCCTGTCCTTGTTGCCTATCCTCATCTTCCCCTTTGCAGAAAGCTCCTGTTCAGGTTTCCCGGACATCTGTTTTCCATGAGGACACACACCACATGATGGTGCTCAGGACAAGCTAACCCTCTTCACTGAAGAGAGCTTTATTTTGCACTGTACCTTCCATGTTGTTTTTTTGATCTCATCAGAGTATTTATTTGCAGGTCCATTTCTCAGGTAAATGCTTTTGCAATACTGCCTCAGCTGTAACATCCAGAGTTTGGGTTTTAATAAAGCCGCTCCCTTTTTCTTCATCTAGAGATCTTGTAACCTCTAAAGAAGCAAGCACATCCGTTGCTTCAATACACTTCATGAATCCAATCTCTGTTCTACTTCTAGCAGAGAGTACTTCAGATGTCTTTGGGACGTTCTACGTTTGTTTCCTCCCTTCTTGTTCTGTTTGTTTTCTAGTGACAGGAATTAGAATTACAAGCATTAGCAGGGTTGCTTTATTGACTGGGGATCAATACTAGATTGCTTTTCTCCCCTCATAGCTGGCAGTTCCATCCTCCTCTGACTTCAGAAATATTCGTCAGAGTTTTACAGACTTTTTATCTTAACACTATCATGAATGGCTTGGCAGACACAGTGCTTTCCATATATCACCTCCTTTAATGATGCCTCTTCTTTCCTGTTGGAGAGACACAGAGATGGCTGATAGTGACTTTCTGGGGAAAGTTACTGCCATAATTCAAACCAGCAGAGGCTTAATGTCATCTGCACGTTGCAACAGACTTAAAATAGCAGATAAACCTACTACAAAGCTATGGATTTCTTTTTTAGCGTGAACTATTCCTGAGGTTTGGTGTCTTTATTTCCAACGTTAAAAAGCTGCATGTTGCAGAAGTGAAAGACACACAGC